AAATTACCTACATTTCACTGCACCTTAGAACGAACTTTTATTCCACGCCTGATTATTTTTAATATTTGCGACAGTGAATACTTGACACGAACGAGTTCAAAACTTTCATTTACACTGTTTCAGGACTGGTTTCAATCCGTCAACACAACCTAAAATTTCTGAAATTGAAATGTAATAAATTTTTCAGGCAAATTTCATTTCCATTATAGACAATACATGTCTGTAAATACAACTAATTCTTATTAATTCTGTAATTGGACCTTCACATTATGTTGAGTTGACAGGGCAGACAATCCTTATTACACTGGGAAAACAATCAGTGACATGTTTTGCCTTAATATATTTAAAAATTGTTTTCTAAAACCTGTTGACATTCTCTTGTCTTCCGTTTGGGGGTAGTTTGTATCGGTAGGCTAGTTGATTGATCATAGCGTGTAATGTCTATGCACTGCTAAAAAGTACATGTGGGAGATTGTTTACATTAGAAGACTTTTGTAAATCAGAGAAAACAAAACTAAATTTACTCAAAAAATGTTCCACACCTTCGTATAATGAGTTATATATGAGAATGTATTCATATTGCCTAGTTTTATTCACAATAACAGTGATGGTGTGGGATGGTGTGGCTGTAATACTTCTAGCACACATCCTCATTTCTTTGAAAACTGATTTTACCGATACTGCCCAATCTATAAAATCATGTTATTGATATTAAACTGAATATCAGTGTTTAGAAAATAATTATTGACGAAAAATTTCTTCATCACAATCTTACACGTGCTTTATTAGATTATTAAAAAAGTCGTTAATATTAACTATATAAATTTAATTAAAATTATCCGCAAACCCAACTGAGCTTTTAATAACGGGCACAACTTATTTTGAATCGTTAATACTATTCGATACGGAAGGCATGGACACCCACATGTCAATTTCAAGACATCGCTATCAAATATCTTATGTAATCTAGAACCCACGAGGTGGGTGGGAGAATACCGAAACAAAATGTAAGGGAAAGGTCCACTCGCGAGTGAAGAAAGCCGATCGCGAGCGTCGGAGCCGGAACGGGCGTCGCCAGGGCAGCGGCCGCCCAGACACGTGCTTCGCGCCAGCGCCCCCCCCACCGACGCTCCTCCGCCCCTTTCCCAGGGCGGCGAGCGTTTCAAAGTCGGGCCAGCGGTCGACGCGCCGCCCGCTGCCTGCCGCGTAGTAAGGGATAGAGTTAGTGGGGTGGAGGTTAGAGTGGCTAATAACTAAAGTAGTGAGAAAGTATGGAATAACACCACGTGGACTGGGGGAACGGGGACGGGGATGCTAGGAGATGCGGGGGACCGGGAACGGGCGGACGGGGACGGACCGGGACGGGACGGGACGGACGGGGGGAGGGACGGACGGGGACGGACGGGAGGCGGACGGACGGGACGGACGGGGACGCGCGGGACGGACGGGACGGGAGGACGGACGGAGTGACGGACGGACGGAGGACGGGACGGAATGGGACGGACGGGCGCGGGACGCGGACAGGGAGGACGGGACGGACGGGACGGACGGGACGGACGGGACGGACGGGACGGACGGGACGGACGTCAGCGTACGAGAGACCTCCAAGACTTGTGGCGTTGTGAATGGGCTCAACGCGCTGGACGTTAGCACGGTCGATGTCCGACACGTGGGTGGAGCAAGAGCCACCAGGTGGCCGCACCGCCGACGAGAGCTTTGTAAACTAGTGGTCTGGCTGGCTTTATTAGTATTCTAGGGAGAAGGGTAGGATACAAAGGAGCTACATTCAAAATATTTTTTCATCGCAGATTTAGACGTTACTCGATTGGCACCACGGACAAAGGTTTTATTTTGTAGAGGGATTAACATTTAAAAACGTTTTACAGCTTATGCATATTACATCTACTGCGATGGGTGAAGGACTTTACCTCTCCTTGACAGCGTTAGCATTAAAACAAAATGAAGCCTTTTTCATTCGAGCTTAACACCAATTTTCAAGATTTGGCCTTAACTTTGAACTTTCATGTTCACAGTAGTAATGGAGAATGAAAATTACACAATACAGTTTTTATTCTCAAACGAGAACTATCACTCTTCTTTGCCACTGTTGTCGCATCAAGGATCTTTTTTCTTACTTACAATAAAATTTTATTTTAGTATTCTAAACAAATTACTATCGGAAGTATTTTCATTAATGCCGGTTAGCAGTAAAACTAGTTTACCGGTCATATTTTCAGTTTTACGGGTAGCACATACCATGAAAAGACGACAAATTTACTATAATATTAATATGTAAAAAAATTCTGTGTATTAATAGTATTTAATTAGTTTTCACAGTGAACATGAAAATTTAATTCTTGATTATTGACTCATGAAATTATCATTTAACTCATATTGAAAAAGAACTAATGGATAATTCTAAAGTATCAATATTTTATCCTGGTAGCAAATTACATGTGTACATTTTCAATCAAACAATTATTCATTAAGATCTTTTAGAAGGTTTTTACTTTAGGTTGGTAAACTTATCTTTTTACGTATATTGTTGCAGGAACCGTTCAGACAGGATATTAGTAGCATTGAGGAAGGACATCGAAAAGATAGTGAAGTGCAATGGTGATCCATGCTGATGAAATACAATTATTATGTCGTGGCTCCAACCGCTTGCCACATGTACTTTAATCTTTTATTGCTGCGCATTCTATCAACCAGATGTCGACGCAGTAGACTAAAGCGTCTCAAGTGCTAATATCAACGTTCCCAAAAGCATGTATAAATATCAACATCCGTAAGCAAGCAACTGAAAAAACAACATTTACGGCAAGTAAGAGGAATGAAATGACATTCTAACCAAATTTCTATTTGCCGTGAAGACCAAAGTGAGCACTACTTTCAATACATGTACAACCCAGAGCCTAGGGAAATTTAGTATTTATCTACACTCTTGCTTCTCTCTAAGGAAAAGTAATGTTTTCAAAATTCTAACAAAATTAACCTTCCAACTTGGCATCTCGTGGACCTTTCAGAATGAGGAATTGCATTCGGAATTTCAGCTATTTAAAATAAGTAATGAGCGCTTTCCTACTGCTGCGTTCCGCTTTCTCAAGGACAGATAGGCAGTTTCATATCTTCCGACAGGTCGAGGCCGACGTCGCAGCTTCCCAAAGGACAGCTGCCGGCCGTTCTTCCTCTTTTGTTTCGTTAATTCGAAAATCGTGTTCGAGTAAAAGTTGTGCTACAGGGTGTCCGTGATCTTTTGCAAGTAGATCGCAATCCTCCTCCACGGATTGTGTCTCAACTCTGTTAGCGCCAACGCCGCCTCTTAGAGAACTTCCTTATAGGGCCATCGGCCTGTTTATAACATTCTTCAGGTTGCCCTTCACCTTTACGTTTACACTTCTGCCCAGCTTCCATGCGTACGGTACTCAAATCATGAAGGTTTAGGCTAGTGCACAGTGTAAATTTAACGAAGTGAAGTTCAGGGTAACAAAAGTCACAAGATACTACAGAAGCTTTTTTAGTAGAATAATGTAAACTCCCGAAACATTGAAGCAAAATAATGAAATTATGAATAACGAAATAATCGAAACAATCGTCTGAGAACATTTTATCCCTAATCATTGCCAGTGCCAAGACATTCCTTTTTAGTATTTAAATTTGGTATTTTGGGAGTGAATATAAAATAAATTCGCGTTTTAAATGGTAAATGGATTAACCACTCTGGGATATTGCGAAAACGGTGTACGTAAAAAGTAGTAGATCGAATACCCCGAAATGTTAAATTTGCGTTACCAGTACAACTGAGACAGCATATTGTTAAACCAGTTTACGGAGCACTACAGGAGCCGCAAGCGCAAGCCGTGGAACGACCGTTTATGCGATTGAAAGGTAGAGACGTTCTAAGCCTTTAATTGCGGCGAAAAAAGGCGAAGACAACAGCCACGTCTCTCACAATTTCATTAGCGTCATCATTAAGCAGCGAATATAATTTACGTTCCGAAAGAAAATCCAGTACTAAAGGTCGTCCCCGTTCCGTCAAGGATACGGCAATAAGAGAATAGAATAATACCTTAAAGTAACGCGACCCCTCCTGCAGTCCCCGTTGTTCTACTGCAAGCGACCTTCCGACGCGCAAATGTTCCCCACTTGCGTCCTCAATTTGTACCTAATGGCGACGATGGCGGCGGCGCGACCTCCTGGTCGTGTCCTATGGAGCGTGAAGCCGCGACCGCCCCCGAGCCGGGACCTTGGGGGACGCCCGCATCGCACTGGTTCCGATAATGAATCGCCCATTGTCTCTTCCTCTGACGGCGTTGCCGGCGCCGCCGACGCCTCGTCGTCGCCTTTCCACTCTTTCGACAACGAGCGAACGAACGAGCGAGCGCCGCTCGTGAGCCTGAGGTCCGCACCAGCCGGTCACCCGATGACGCAAGCCCGTGGGAAAATCGTTGCGACAATAGCCAGTCCGTGCCGAGGCGAGCTGAGCTGAGCTGAGCTGAGCCAAGCCTCCAACACTCGCGCGCTATCGCATTGTTGCGTCGAAGATAGCTCCGGACCATGAGGCTGCTTGTCTAACAGGTTTTGAATTACAAGCATTTTTACCCCTTTTCTATTACCATGACGAATGTTGTGATTTGCGCAGATACTGAGTATGGGTACTTGCGCCTTGACATGTAAACGTAGGATAAGATATTTTCGAATGGAGATTCCTGCGATAGCTTCATCAGACACAATGTAAAATGTGCAGTTAAAGAGAGCCTGAGGATATTTTCTGAACAACATGCCTACGTTTCATTATCAATAAGCCTCATCGTTTGAAGAACGTGAGACTCTTCTGAATTGTGCAGTCACTTTATAAATATTTCTTGACGTACCTTGACCTAATTACTCCCCCTATAAAGTTCCGCAAGCAGCTCAACTCGGCAGATCATTTGGCAAAGTAAGTATTGGTTTGACAACGGACAATAGAGGAGGGTTGCACAATGTTACAAAGATTGTACCTCGCTCATGTTTGCAAAATCCGGCACGTTTCGTTACGAGACCACAGTAAGTGACGGTTGAGTACCCGAAGTTCGTGTACCATTCATGCGCTCACCGCCCCCCCCCACCCCCCCACACACACACACACACACACAAACATACAGACGTTCACAACCGTGACCCCGAGTTCTGCCACCGTCGACCGAGCCAGCCGGTGGGCCGTTCGGTCAGCCTACCTCCGACTCCGCCAATTACTTGAACAAACCTCGCAAACTAAATCCGCGAGTGCGGCGGCGAAAGCATTGTGGCTAGAGGCAGACTACGCGTGACGCAACGTGTCGAAGGTTGCGTTTCCTCACGCACACGCACGCACTTACACGTGCGAGACAGCCCGACAGCGCAGAGAGATAAGAAACCGTACCGTTTGCTTTGAAGATGGAGTTCGGCGGGAGGAAACGGGGAGCTGGAGTTTGGCAACAGGTCCTTTTTTGCCGGGCGGTGGCGGCGGCGGAATCTAATTTTGCAAGCGGGGACAAGAGGTGCCCGCAGCGGCGGAACCCCGCCCACACGCCGCACCCTGGCCCGCTTCTAGCAGCGCCGCCGCCGCCGCCGCCGCCGCCGCCGCCGCCGCCGCCGCCGCCCAGTTGGACCAGCTGTGGTTACCGGCCTGCTCTTGATGTACAACGTTCACCGCCGAAACATTTTTCCCTCATTGCTATAACTCACCAAGAGATAGCTTACATCTGATTAGCAATGTACAAATAAGATTCACCGTTCGTGCAGAAGATACTTAAGTGGGTGAGAAGTTCATGACAACCAGTTGATCATCAATAACTTCGTTTACTGAGTTCTATCGTACCTTCTGTACAACGTGTGGGTTGAATTTAATCCACTTTTCCAAAATATTGGAGTCAAAAAGGTGCCCTCTATACGAAAAGAGTTTCTACCCGTGTTAACTGTCAGGTGTTTACACATCGCTGTCGAACGGTAAGTGGCAAGAAAACTACCAGTGAAAACGCACGTTTTGATCAGCAGTTGCCCTCTCGCTGTATCAGTATTTCGTGGTATACAAAGCGGAATTTCACAAAAGGACAAATGTTTCCTTTTCTCACAGTTCATTCTCAAATTAGCAGAGTGTGCATGAAAGGAAAATGAATTTACGAGATGGATATCTACTTTAATAATCGGAGTGCTTATTATTCTGTTCCAAAACTTTGCAAACTAATGAATTATGGAATATTTACTGCAACTGAAACATTTATATGCAGAAATAATTCTGAGATAACACTAACTCTTCTTCGTCCATAAAAAAATTGCACACCGATTGTATTGCAGTAGTATTCAGAAGGCGATTCCCAAGGAAATAGCTGTCTGGAAAATTTACACCAGTAGTTTCTTCGAATGTAACAACTAGATTTTTCCCCTTTCAATGCTCAAGCCTTTGAGAAGTTTGTAGGTTGACATGGTAAAACTGAAATATTGTAATTTGCGCCGAATCCGAAAGATTGACATTTTGATGCACTCCAATATTTGCAATAATTTTCTTTCGGGTTCTTGAAAGAAAAAAAAGGAGGTATGTAACAGTGAGCGTGGAACTTTCGCTTCCCCGCAGGGAATGCGAAAGTGTCGCGCCCGGCGTGATGGTGTGTCACTTCGATTTCAAAGGTACTCAAGTTCAAACGGGCTCTAAATTTCAATAACTGAATTGCAAGAATCGAATTGCCACTAAATTGCAAGCATCTTTTGCACGGGTAATTCCATTTGATGAAAATATTCGATTACGATTAGAGCGAAGTACCAGGATTCTCTCTTTTGTGTGCAGTTTTTCATGTAAGCACTTTGTACAGAAAATACTTGAAATAATGAACTGCTTTTATATTCTACTCTAAGCAACCGATCAGTATTAGTTACCGGGAAAGGTAATTGAAAAGGAAAATTTCCAAACATTTGCATTGATTTTTTCATGAATTCCAAAAATAATTGTTTCGTCACCGTTTTAATTTTAATCAATATCCCGATTTCCTGTACAACTTCATTCTTATCTAATATACTTAAATTGAAGGGAAAATCAAAGGAGAAAATTCCAGTGTCAAGCCCCCGCACTATATTATTATTTTCTTACCTTATTGTACGGACTATAATAGGGACTTTTTTCTTCGAAAAATTGCCTCCAATATTCAGTTGCGCCATACTCTAAATTAATATAAAAATGTTCAGCGTTTGATTTATAATTCCTGACAGTCTTGAAAAATGGCCGTATATTCGGTGCCACGGGAAACATATCTCTAACTGGAACATTGGATTTAATTGGCAGCAGCAGTGCAAAGTTACGACGAACAGGCCGAGAATTCTCACGCTTGGGAACTGTCTCCCTTCCGCTCCGCCATCACACATCTAGAACCCTCTGTAGCCTAAGGTGCGTCATTGCAGTCTATGATGCTAGTGAGTTGGAACTGAAAAAGAGATGTGTTGTCCTTAGCAGTACTATATTTTTGTTAGCTAGCTTCGTAACGGAAAAAATCTAAGGTATTATTAGGATACGGGCTACAAGTTGAAAAATTTCATTAAAAATTTCTTAAATATCAAGGTATCTCTTATAGCCTGTAGTGTCTTATACGTAAAATACGGTACTATGTAATAGAGTTAATGCTTTTGGTCACTTAAACATTCACTTTCCTTTTGAAATTAGTATTTTAAATGACAAAGTTTAGATATACATTTGTGAAGGAATGCCTAATGCAAATCAACGATTTCCTTCCTTCAAAACCATAATGGTCAAAGATTCGAAGACATCGAAGTAATATTGCGGGAATATACAAAACATATTTCAACGACACTATCAATGCAAATTTTTGAACTTTTTTCTTGCAAAAACCAATTACTACCGCAAGAACTACTTCTGTGTATTATTAATATAGTAGTTTAGAGCAGTAAGGTCTTGCATGTCCTGTCTAAATGTGTAGGCCTAACGAAGATCATTACAAGAAATACTATTTTACGACATTATTTCAGGCCTACTTCATTGAACGTGCAGATCGTGACAAGAGTGTCGAAATTTTTCATGCAACAGGGCAGCGCGAAGATCTACCCACTCACTATTTAGGCTTGCCAAATGATTCTGTTCTGCAATAATTTATAACCCATTACTCCCAAACAGTTTTACGCTACTTGCCCTGGTAGCGCAGTATTGCGCATGGGACATGCCCATCAACATGTCACGAACATCCTTTCTGGAACCTTGACTCGTCTTTACGAGAAAAGAACGTACTAACTACTAAAGGAGGTGCTTGAAGTAAAATTTATACAACGGCTGGGAAATAAAACCTTCGCAAATTTATGGATATTTCCCACTTGCATTAACTGATGATTGCCATTGAAACTACGAAAAATGCTGTACACAATGACTTACGAGCATTAAGATCTTCATTTCCAATGCTATAATTGAGTTCAACTACAATGATATTTAATTCCTATCTTTAAGGGTGTATATACAAAAAAATTGATCGTAAAAGGTAAATTTCTGTGGTACTTTTGATGGAATTTATTTTCCACCAAGGCTCTCCTTTACGGCAGCAATGTCTTTCAATAACAAAATGATTAAGGAAGGTAAAGACCAACCACGTACTCTCTCACCACACGTCCTAACCATTCATGTCCTTACTACATAGAAAACTAAGTGGCAATTCACTGTTCTTGATTTCCGACGTCCCGTTTGCGCCCAACCAGTAGAGCGCCCAACCAGTAGAGCGCCCAACCAGTAGAGCGCCCAACCAGTAGAGCGCCCAATTAGCAGTACATACATTGCGTGCTTCCATACGCAAGTACTCTGAATGCTTATGTCCACGACATTCCCCGCGTGAGCAACAGGTCCCTCCCCCTATTTGGACCCCACCCCCACCCATACGCACGCACAATGCTCGAGCGCTCGCTAGGAGAGAGAGAGGAGTGTGGCTGGCGGCGAACGCTGCACCCACTGCGTACGCGTCCGGGTTCGCGGCGTTCGCGCTTGCGCTGAGCGGAGCGGTGCCGGAGCCGGAGCCGGCCAGAGCGCGCCTCGGCGGCGGCGGCGGCGGCGGCGGCGCGGGGATTGGACTGACCTACTTGCCCGACGGATAGCCCGAGGCGCCCGATTCGCCAACACCGCTAGCGAAACCGCTCGCGCAAAGATCATGCAACGCGTAGATCGAATGACGCGCCCGCCCGCCGTCGAGCAAGTAGTAGGCGGCGGCGGCCGACGGGCAGCCACGCGGGGGCGCAGCTTCTCCTCAACCTCCGCTGCCATGGCCTGCGGGGAAGCCCCAGGCGCCGGAGGCACAGGGGGCCGAGGTGGCTGGGTCGCAGGAGGCCGTGGCGCAACAATGAAGGGAGGAGTAGAAGGCGGCGGGGGCCTCGCCTCCTCGGGGCAGGTGCGTGAGCGAGAGGACGTCGATGACGTGGCGGCGCGGGGATGGCAGGACGGATCGGGCACGCGGTGAATGTGTTCCCTCTTCTCTAGCTACTTCTAAGGTAATGTTTAAGATGCCAATGTTGCCATCGACGGGTTTAATTGTCCTGTGATTAATGCTTATGGAAACCGCAATCTCTTTATGCGAACAACCAACGTATTTGATACTACCGTTAGAATTTAAACATCTCTATTTTTCCTTTTTATTCACCAATGTTTGTATTTAAGTACTATAAAAATCATTTTTTACATCAGTATTAATTTATGCATCTTTTCAAATTAAGCCAAAGTATATTATTTATAAAAAAAATTACAGCCATTCCAATCTCATTTTCAAAACCTTATTAGAGGCAAATTTGTGAAGTAAAAATTTTTCATTTTTTATACCGTACAAACTTTAGCAACAATAAACTTATGCAATATTAAAAATAAAATTGCTTGGAATTCTAGATGTAAATGTGGTTGTTACCGGATATAATCATACAGCTGAAGTACAGAAGCATTGCCGTTGTTTATGTTAAAGAATGTAATAAACTCACAAATTCTGATCATCTTTCGCGGATAATCACATCGATTAAAGAAACA